TGACACACAAGCCCTCAGGTGGAGGGGGTGCCACTTGGCATGGAGGCTGATAGTGGATAAAAAGAGGCACAAGGTCAAAGGCAAAGGTCAAACAAAGGCTCAAAATCACCACAGGGAGGGAACAAACAAAAACTGCAACAACACTGACTCCTGATCTTAGAGGAGACTTTCTGCCTTGATCCCTGACTATTTGGTTGATACTGGGCCCCACCTGACTCCCAGCCCTTCCAGTCCAAGGGGAGGTGGGAAGTGGCCCCAATGCAACCCCGTCCCCACCGTGGTCTTTCCCTGAATCTGAGGTCTGGAAACACAGCCCAGGCTACTGCTGAGATGCACAGAATGTAGACTCCTCTGGGGACCCGCAGTCAACCATTACAGAAAGAGAAGGAATTAAATCACTTGGAGGCTGGCGTTCCATAGTGAGAATTTCTCCCAGTGTACTGGATCGAATCGGAGGAGGCGACTCTGACCTGAGTGGGTGTACACAACCTTGTCACTACTAACATGAGACCAGCCAGATTTTCAGTCACCAGTCAGGGTGTTCAGGGACGTCCCTCCCCTCTGGCCTGTCAGGATTAAGGTCTCCTGCCTGTGAGGCTCCTACAGACCTCCAGGCAGCTCACAGCCCCCACAGCTGCTGTCTGCCTGGCCTTGTAAAGTGTCCTGCACACGCCAAGCTTTAGTTTTCCACCAAACACCCAAGTACAGTTTTTCAGCCCCTTGTTTGAACATATCCCATTCTCACATTGGGAGAATTTACACTCTGAAATCAGCAAACACTGCAGAGCATGGATGGATTTTTTGTCTTTCTGAATGCCTGGACTTAGGAAAATGATGATGTAATGGTAAGAATGCACCATAGACTTAAATGTGTAAGGTGTTTTGGGGAATGATATTGTGCAGGACACAAAAAAATCTCAGGAAAAATAATGAAGAAATAGCCTCCCAGTATTACCATGAACCCATAGAGAAAATGTCATAGCATGTAAGAATGAGAAAAATTCTAACATTTATCTTTGTTGTATGCATGTCTTATTTGTAATTGAAAGGGAGTTAGCCATAACTCATATCAAAGAAAACAGGCAAATGATACAAATAGAAATTGTACCAAAGAAGACATACAGGGGGTAAATAAACACATGAAAAAAATGCTGAAAGGCAAAATCCCTAGGAAATGCAATTACAACACAGCACTACACACATATTAAAAGGGCAGACATTGGGGCGTCTGGCTGGCTGAGTCGGTGAGGGTCTGCCTTCAGATCGAGTCATGATCCCAGGGTCTCGGGATCAAGCCCCGCATCAGGCTCCCTGCTCAGCGGGAAGCCTGCTTCTCCCTCTCCCACTTCCCATGCTTGTGTTCCCTCTCTCATTGTCTCTCTCTCTGTCAAATTAATAAAATCTTTAAAATAAAAAATTTGAAAAAAAAAAAAGGGCTGACATTAAAGACTGACCCTCCCTCTCAAGTACTGGCAGGGAATGAAAATGCTGGAGCTCTCATACATGCCTGGTGGGAATGAAATAGTGAACAGCTCAGATCCCACTTTGGCCCTTTCATGAAACTGTTAAACACTCACATACAAGTGACTTAGCCACTGTGCTTCTGAGTTTTAACAGAGGAGAAATGAAACCTCTACCTGCATTAAGAATACATACAGAGGGGTAAATATGCAAAAGTCAAAAACTGGAAATAACCCAAGTGCTCCAAACAGATGAAGAGATCAATAGTGGTACACCCAGAGAAGAAAACAGTACTGTTGAATGAAAGGGACATACGTGCAAAACCACCTCCAGCCCTCAGGCCAACGAAAAAGGCTGAGAAGTCCACCTAGAGGAGAAATGTTTATTTATGGACTTTGGGGCAGAAGACTATCTTGAGCAACCATAACATGAGTAGGACTCCGCACCACCACCTCCAGAAAGATCTGCTTTTTTAGCCCTAGAGGCTGGGGAGTACCTGGGAGACACCCTGGGAAGAGGATGTTTCAGAACAGGTGTCTGCCACAGTCCTTTAGGATACCAACAAGAATGCTGACTGGGCAGGGTCACAAAAGCTACATCCCTGGAGGATGAATTCTCCCTTGTCTTTACCTTTCTCCTGCCTTCACTTGTCACAGCGGCCTTGACATGTTAGCACCACAGAGGATAGAAGAATTCAGAGACTTTGGGATTATTTTATGACAAGGACCTCTGTCACACAGGATACGTGTGTCTGAAAGTGGAGAATTTCTGTGCACACTGATCCAGCCCAGCCAGTCACTACAACATCTGTGGATACACTTTTTTTTTTTTAAAGATTTTATTTATTTATTTGAGAGAGAGAATGAGAGAGAGCACATGAGAGGGGGGAGGGTCAGAGGGAGAAGCAGACCCCCTGCTGAGCAAGGAGCCCGATATGGGACTCGATCCCGGGACTCCCTCCAGGATCATGACCTGAGCCGAAGGCAGTCGCTTAACCAACTGAGCCACCCAGGCGCCCCATGTGGATACACTTTTTTAAGAGATACACACCACCTAGGTGGCTGGTGTCTCCTCTGCTCCCTAATTGCCCAATCATCCAGATTACCAATTATAGTTCCCCTGCCTGTGGTGTTACAAGTGAATACTGTACACCAGGTCACAAGGCTCCGTTGAAGGATCTGGGGTAGAGATTCCACTCAACAGCGCCTGGCATCCTGTGCTATCAGCTGTGGAGAAGCAAAATATTCCTGTTGTTTCCACAGCACTGGAATGGTCTCAACTGCTCCCTTTTCATGGTGACCTCTGAGCACACAAAACTTGCTAGGATCCAGACCACAAAACCCAGATGTGGATCCTGGGAGGCTGTATTAGCTAGAACTGGTATTACACAGGACCCCACACTGGGTGATTACACAAGAGAAATTTATTTTCCCACAAATCTGGAGTCTAGAAATTAGACCTAACGGGTCAGCAGGGTTAGTTTCTTCTGAGGCCTCTGTCCTTGGCTTAGATCTGGGGATTCCCTTTCTTCACATGGTCATCTGTGTGTGCCTGTATCCTCATCTCTTCTTATCATGAAGCCAGTCATACTGCCTAAGAGTCCATCCTAATAACCCATTTCAACTTCTGGTCTCTTTAAAGATGCTGTAGCTAACAGTGTCACATTGTGAGGTACTGGGGCTTACAACTTTAACATATGAATGTTAGGTACAGAATTCAGCCCATAACAAAGGTCTTGAGTTTTAATGCAAATTAAAGCCCAAGCTGGAGAGCAGAACTGACCTCTGTATTGTTTATTTGCAATCATCCACTCTGAGACACAGTAAGTTTGGGTGGCAATGAACTCTGTTCACTCCTATGTCTGGCAGAGCTCAATTCTAATTTCACACCACCCCTTAAAGTGAATTTAACACCTAAGACTAATGGTAATTAAACAAAAAAGGCATTTAGTAATGCATAAACCAGAGCAGCACATAGCACCCAATTCCTGTGTTGCTGACTTAGAAGCTGCAAAGATTTATCACAATCCTCAGGAGACTAACAACGTCCCTAAAATATTTACTCTTTCTCTGCAAAACACCATCCAGAACTCAAGAGGTACGGAGGGTCAACACTGGGTCACATCCATGCACTAACTTAGAAGGCAATGAGGAGATCCCAGTACCCATAACTTCCATCAGCAAACGACAAAGCAAAGTGGTCAGCGTCATTAAGCTGGGTGGTGACAGATGTTCGTTACTGGGACCATCCAGGTGGCAGAAGTGAAATGATTTCTGTCACAGAATCTGACAGTGACTTCCAGCAATGACTTCAGACACATCAGAACACCCAATACAACTTCTGAACTTTCCCAAATAGCTGGAACTTACGGGAAGTCACTCCACTGTGGACAGGCAGGTGAACAAAACTCAATTCAGGAAGGTGGCTGCCTCATAAGGTTCTCCTCAGCATAATACACTAAGGAAGGAACTATCACCTTCTCCACCATTTTAAAGTCTTTCTGCAGTGTGAACTCTGAAGTGTGGAATGAAGACAGATGTCTAGCTGAAGGACTGGTGTCCTTCACCTCACTCATGTGGTCATGCTCCAAGGTGAATTCGGATTTTTATGAAACGGTTATCTTTGCCCAAAACATTACCCACATTCTTCACCTGTGTCTTAGCTGAGGCCGCTCTCACAAAATATGATAAACTGGGTGGCTTGTAAGCAACAGAAATTTCTCACTTCTGGAGGCTGGATATGTCCCATAACATTCCCCATACGGTCTGGTTTTGTGTCTGGTGAGGACCAGCTTCCGGATTTATAGATCTCCCCAAAGGGTCCTCACATGATTGATAGGGGAAGCAAGCTGTCTCAGAATACTTAGAAGACATTAAAACCATTCATTAGGAATTCACACACATGATCCATTCTAGTATCAATTACCTCCCAAAGACATCACCTGCTACTCCTATTGCATTACAGGACAGGGAGTCAACATATCAACATCAGTGAACAGAACCATTTAGTTCATGTTACTACCCATAAAGACACAATTTACTGCGTACTTTCTCATCTTGAATGAGACTGCAAATTTAGCTGAAAGATTTCCCACATCCCCGGTACTCCTAACGTCTTTTTCCAGTGTGAACTCTGTGATGGTAACTGAGAGCACCATAACTGAAAAAAGATTTCCCACATTCACTGCACTCATAAGGCCTTTCTCCTGTGTGAATTCTCTGGTGTTGAATGAATGTCGACTTGTACTTCAACAATTTCCCACATTCATTACACTTATAAGGCTTTTCACCTGAGTGAACCTTTATGTGTACATTCAGGGTATTTCTTTGGAAGAAGGACTTGCCACATTCACTGCACTCATAAGGCCTTTTTCCAGTGTGAAGTCTCTGGTGAGAACGGAGGAGGGAACGAGAAGTGAAAGTTTTCCCACAGTGACTGCATTTATAAGGCCTTTCTCCAGTGTGAACTCTCTGGTGATCACGGAGATAAGAACTACAAGTAAAAGATTTCCCACAATCACTACAATCGTAAGGACTTACTGCAAGGTGACTTTGACGATGATACCGGAGGGCGCGGCTGTAACTAAAAGATTTCCCACATTCACTGCACAGATAAGGCTTTTCTCCTGTGTGAATTCTCTGGTGTTGAATGAACGTCGACTTATAGTTCAAAGATTTCCCACATACATTACATTTGTAAGGCCTTTCACCCGAGTGAACCTTGATGTGTACATTGAGACTATTCCTTCGGCAAAAGGTCTTGCCACATTCACTGCATTCATAAGGCCTTTCACTATTGTGAACTCTTTTGTGAGAACGAAGGTGAGAAGTAGTGGTAAAAGACTTCCCACAGTCACTGCATTTATAAGGCCGTTCTCCAGTATGAACTCTCTGGTGAGAACGAAGGGCAGATCTAGTAGCAAAAGATTTCCCACAATCATGGCACTCATGAGGCCGGTCTCCTGTGTGAATTCTCTGGTGTTCAACAAATGTTGACTTACATTTCAATGATTTCCCACATTCATTACACTTATAAGGCTTTTCACCTGAGTGAACCTTTAGGTGCACACTCAGGCTATTTCTTCGGACAAAGGACTTGCCACATTCACTGCACTCATAAGGTCTCTCTCCAGTGTGAACTCTCTGGTGATAATGGAGGGCTGAATTAGCAGTAAAAGATTTCCCACATTCACTGCATTCGTAAGGCCTTTCTCCAGTATGAAGTCTCTGGTGATCACGGAGGACAGACCTCGTGGTAAAAGATTTCCCACATACACTGCATTCATAAGGCCTTTCTCCAGTGTGAACTCTCTGGTGAGAATGAAGGACAGAACTAGTGGCAAAAGATTTCCCACATTCACTGCACTCATAAGGCCTTTCTCCTGTGTGAATCCTCTGGTGTTTAATCAGTGTTGACTTACACTTCAAAGATTTCCCACATTCATTACACTTATAAGGTTTTTCATCTGAGTGAACCTTTACGTGTACTTTGAGGATATTTCTTCGGATAAAGGACTTGCCACATTCACTGCACTCATAAGGCCTTTCTCCAGTGTGAATTCTGTGATGATAATGGAGGTGAGTCCTACAGATAAAAGATTTCCCGCATTCACTGCACTCATAAGGCCTTTCTCCAGTGTGAATTCTCTGGTGTTTAATCAATGTGGACTTCCACTTAAAAGATTTCTCACATTCATCACACTTATAAGGCCTTTCACCTGAGTGAACCTTTATGTGTACTTTGAGACTATACCTTCGGACAAAGGACTTGCCACATTCACTGCACTCATAGGGCCTTTCTGCAGTGTGAACTCTCTGGTGAGCATGGAGGATAGAACTAGTGGTAAAAGATTTCCCACAATCACTGCACTCATACGGTCTTAAGTCTGTGTGAGATCTCTGATGATAACAAAGGGCAGACATAGAGGGAAAAGATTTTGCACAGCCACAACATTTATAAAACCTTTCTCCAGGGCGAACCCTATGAGTAATCAACACTGATCTATGGATAAAAGGTTTTGCACATCCACTGCAAACATAACTCTTCGCTCCATTGTGCCATCCCTGGGGATGAATGAGGACAGAGTTGCAGCCTACGGATTTCCCACATTTGCTGCACATGTATTGCCTGGATCCACTGTGAGTTTTACCATGTTCATTCAGGGCTGACCTTTGCCTAAGTGATTTTCCATATTTGCCAAACTCATAATGTCTTTTTCCAATATGGTATCTCTGATGTATGGCAAATAAGGATTTGTACCTGAATGCTTTCCCGCATTCACTGCACACAAAGGACTGTCTTCCAAGGTGGACACCCTGGTCCTGACTATGTGTGTGTTTGGGACCAAAGGCGTTCTTGCATTCTCCCCAGGTGTCATGACTTTTTCTGCTTTGTAAAGTTGCCCTGCACTGGGTGATCGTGTGTGGCTTCTCCCCAGTACGAGTGGCCTCTTGCTGCAGATGCCCTGAGCCAGACAGGAAATCCTTCTGAACTTCTCCACAGGTAAGGGGCTTTCCTGCACCATGGAATCCCCAGCTCTTCACAACAGAGGCCCTGTCCACACGGCTTCTGAAGGGTTTCTCTCCCATGTGCTGTTTCTCATGTTTTCTGAAGTCAGTAATGAAATAAAATCGTTTCCCACAGGCCCCACACCTCAACAGTCTCTGGCTGTTTTCTTTTCCCTGGTGCGCAGCCAAATGGAAAATGTCTCTCAAGACTGGACCACACATTTCACAGGGGTGGGTCTTCCGGGAAGACTGAGCTGCCTTGGGCGTCCTGGTCTGTGACACGCCTACAGAAGTGCTCTGGGCAAAGGGTGCCTCCTCATCCTCTGCTCCACAGCAACAACCTGAAGGCAAAGAAGCGCTGGTGAAATTTGTGTTGACAATAGTGAAGGGATGAGCCCATCACATAATATACATGGGTCTCACCTAGGCATGCTTTTCCAGACACTGGAGATGGAAAACAGCTGGAGTGGTTGCTGCGCATTATTGGGCCCTGATAGTCAAAGTAATGTGGAGAGCTCACTAAAAGAATGGGAAACTAGGGTATGACAGAAGGAAGAGAGCCAGGTCGAAACCTTACTTCTCTTCCCACAAGTTAGCGTAGGACCAATTCTGCTGGTGATATCTAAGTACAAGGCTGTAGGAAAATCCAATCCCCATAAATTTGCTGCTGTTCAATGTCAGTTTAAGGACATATGAATGGGGCGCTTGGGTATGTCAGTCGGTTAAGCATCTCCCTTCAGCTCAGGTCTTGATCCCAAAGTCCTGGGATTGAGCCCCTTATCTGGCCCCCTGCTCAGAGGGGAGTCTGATTCTCCCTCTCTCTCTCTGCCACTCCCCTTGCTCATTCCCTCTCTCTCAAATAAATACATAACATCTTTTTAAAAAACTTAAAAAAAAAAAAAGACATGTGAATATCTCATGGTAAAACGTTTGGGGGTGAATGGAGTAGACAGAAAGAGCAGTGACAGTAAGAGGTGAGATATGGAGGCCTGAGAAGCACTGATTACCCTTATATTGGATGTCATGGAATTACCAATGGAACAGAACCCAGAATTCACAAATTGTCAACAGTGAAGAAGGAAAGAGAGAGACAGGGTGTGGCCATCAGCAATCACACCAAACTATGGTGGAAGAAACAAAGGTGCCTGGTATGATCTGAACACAGGTCTGATATCACCCCTTCCCCAGCTTCTATTCACCAGAAACAGAGCCCCTGTGAGCCCACCTGGTCATGTGTGGAGAATGTCCATGCTATGACACACAAAGGACTCCTCCCTATAAGCCCTCCTGAGCAACTACAAGATACCAGGAGGATAGAAATACTGAAGGAAAACAGGGCACGTGGACAACCAAACTGTCCCAGAGCTACTCAGGAGAGCAGACACAGAAAAACATCCTATGTGACTGATGGCAGCAGGATGGGAGAATAGGAGATACCATCCTTCACGGCAACAAAAATCACGGCATTACCTCAGCGAGCTCAACAGTGCCATTAAGACTAAGTAGGCACAGTGGAGCATAAAGAAGGGCACAAGCACACAGGAAAGATAACTGGAGCCTGCTGTAGCAGAGACTGTGGGGTAGGTGGGAAATAAGGGCTGGGGCTACCTCCATCAGCCACAGGGCGCGTGCTCCTGCAGTCCCTGCTCAGCACAGACTCCGGCTGCCGGCTCCACAGGGGACACTGGCACCCCTGCCACCAAGTCAACCAAAGGCTAAAGCCAAAGCAATAGTGAGAGAGATCAAAGCTGAAGGCAGCACATTTATGATTTCAAACTAGATTACAAAGCTATAGTATTCAAAACAACAGGGTACTGGCTTAAAAACAGTCCAAGGGAACAGAATAAAAACTCCAGAAGTAAACATTCATATATAGAGTCAACTAATATTTGACAATTATGCCAAAAATCTACACTAGGGAAGAATAATCTCTTTAATAATGTTGTGCAATCTATGGGGAGCTCGGGGGTCACATTTGGTTGAGCTTCGACTCCTGGTTTCAGCTCAGACAGTGATCTCAGGGTCATGAGAGCAATCTCCACATCTTTCAGCTTAGAGCCTGCTTGGGACTGTCTATCTCCCACTCCCTCTGCCCCTCCCCACCATTGTCTGTGTCTCTCTCTAAAATAAATAATTAAATGGGGTTTTTTTCTTTTCTATATGATATACTTTTTTTTTTTTGGCTACAACATGTTTTTTATTATGTTATGTTAATCACCCTACATTACATCATTAGTTTTTGATGTAGTGTTCCACAATTCATTGTTTGCGTATAACACCCAGTGCTCCATGCAGTACGTGCCCTCTTTAATACCCATCACCAGGCTAACCCATCCCCCCACCCAGTAATTAAATGTTTAAAATACTGTTGTGAAGGGCGCCAGGGTGGCTTGACTGTTGAGCATATGACTTCTGGTTTCAGCTCAGGTCATGAACTAAGTGTTCTGAGATGGAGCCAGCATCGGACTCCACGCTCAGTGCGGAGTCTGCTTTAGATTCATTTTCCCTCTCCCTCAGCCCCTCCCTGCTTGCTCTCTCTCTCAAATAAATAAATAAATCTTAAAAAAAAAATAACAATAAAATACTGCTGTGAAATCTAAATATCCAAATGAAAAAACAATGAAACTTGATCCTCATCCTATAGCACACATGGAAATGAAGTTGAAATTGAATCAATACTTAAACATATGACCTTTAACCCGAAAACTCCTAGGAAAACATAGGGAAAAACCTCCTTAACCTTATTCCTGCCAATGATTTTTTGAATATGACATCTAAAGCATACACAACAGTAGCTAAAAACTATAAGTACTACCATACCAAATTGAAAAGCTGCACCAGGGCCAATGAAACACACAAGAGAGTGAAAAGGATGTACAAGTGACTAACATGTTGTCACAGTCACGAATCATCAGGGAAATGAAAACCAAACCATGGGCGCTGGGTGACTCAGTGGGTTAAGCGTCTATGTTCGGCTCAGGTCATGATCTCAGGGTCCTGGGATTGAGTCCCATGTCAGGCTCCCTGCTCAGCTGGGAATCTGCTTCTCCCTCTCCTTCTGCCCCTCCTCCCCACTCGTGCTCTATCTCTCTCAAATAATAAAAATCTTAAAAAAACAAAACAAAACAAAAACCCATAAGCACAAGATATCACCTCCTACCTGTCACAATGGCTATTACCAAAAAGACAAGAGGTAACACATTGATTAGGATGTGCAGGAAAAATAACATTTGAATACTGCTGCTGGGCATGTAAATAGGTAAGTGATTATGGAAAATATTAGGGATACCCACCAAAAATTGAAAATACAACTATCATATAGTCCACCACTGCTATTTCTAGGTATGTATCACAAGGAAACAAAATCAGTATCTCCACAAAGTATCTGAACACGAATATCTACTGCAGTATTATTCACAATAGCAAATATATGGAAACATCGGTAGGTGTGTGTGAGTGTTTAAAATGACAAAGAAGGGACGCCTGACTGGCTAAGTTGGTAGCGCATCCAACTCTTGATCTCAGGGTGGTGAGTTTAAGCCCCACACTGGGTATGGAGTCTATGAAAAAAAATAAAATAAAAAAATAAATTGTGTCAAATGAATAAATAAATAAAGAGACAAAGAACAATTACTACATACACACATACAGGAATATTCAGCCATAAAAAAAGAAAGCAACACTGCCACTTCCCACAGAAGAACCTGGAAAACCTTATGTAGAGTCAAATCAGCCACACAGCAAAATGCAAACTTTGTACGGTATCACTTACATGAGGATTCCTAAAAAAAGATATAAATCAAACTCATAGATACGGAGAGTAGAAAGCCAGGAGCTCAGGGTTGAGGGAAATGGGAAGATGTTGGTTAGGGGTACACACTCACTTTCACATACAGGATGAGTAATTTCTAACAATCTAATGTACAGGAGGTTGATTACAGTTGTTAATATCGTATTCTACACTTGAAATTTGCGAACAGGATAGATACTAAGTTTTTGAACCACCACCAACAAAAAAGGTAATTATGTCAAGTGATGGTGTGCTGTAACTTCATGTTGTTGTTGTTTTTTTTTAAAGATTTTATTTATTTATTTGACAGAGAGAGAGACAGCGAGAGCAGGAACACAAGCAGGGGGAGTGGGAGAGGGAGAAGCAGGCTTCCCGCCGAGCAGGGAGCCCGATGTGGGACTCGATCCCAGGACCCTGGGATTATGACCTGAGCCGAAGGCAGACGCTTAATGACTGAGCCACCCAGGCGCCCATAACTTCACGTTGTTAATAATTTTATTTTTTTTAAGATTTTATTATTTATTTGACAGAGAGAGACAGCAAGAGAGGGAACACAAGCAGGGGGAGTGGGAGAGGGAGAAGCAGGCTTCCCACTGAGCACGGAGCCTAATGTGGGGCTTGATCCCAGGACCCTCGGATCATGACCTGAGCCGAAGGCAGACGCCTAACGACTGAGCCACCCAGGCGCCCCTTGTTAATAATTTTATAAGGTAGGGGTGCCTGGGTGACATAGTGGTTTAAGCACCCAACTCTTGGTTTCACCTCAGATGTTTGGGTTGTGATACCGAGGCCCTGCCCCAGACTCTGCTCTCAGCACGGGGTCAGCTTGAGTTTCTCTCTTCTTTTCCCCTCCTCTCCGCTTGCACATGGATGCACACAAACTCTCGCTCTCACTCACTCTCAAATAAATAAATCTAAAAAGAAATTACACTAATCTCATAATGTATATCAAACTATCATGTAATATAACCATACCTCAACAAAGCTCATGGGAGGAGGGCAGGTAGAAGAAGAGATGTAAACACTACTAAAAGAACCATACAGGACAGTCTTGAGAAGTAACCCATGGTCCACATAAGCAGTAAACATGCCAGGGCACCTGGGTGGCTCAGTCGTTACTCGTCTGCATTCAGTCCTGGGATCGAACCCTGCATCGGGCTCCCTGCTCTGCGGGAAGCCTGCTTCTCCCTCTCCCATTCTCCCTGCTTGTGTTCCCTCTCTCACTGTGTCTCTCTCTGTCAAATAAATAAATAAAATCTTAAAAAAAAAAAACAAAAACATGTCAATGTCTGCAATTTCAGGCACAGGCAGGCACAAGGAAATGGCACCTAAAGGAAGGGTTCAAAACCCGGGCCACAGAAATGGCACGGATCTGAACACACGGACCCAGCCAGGGAGAGGGCAAGCAAGGTGCAATCCATCAGCCTCACTGCATGACTACTAACCTCCAATCTTACCCGATCAGGGCTCAGCACAGAGGGTACTGGGAGCTGCAGGGCAGAGAAAAGGGCACACCAACAACTCAGAGCTAGCAACAAAAGCAACTAACCAGAAAGCTGGGGAAGCAAGCAGTGCCCACAGTCCACACGAGGGAAGGACTAACCTACCCTGGAAAATGCAGAGGGGGGACTCGGGAGCACAGAGTCTAGTCCAGGTCAAAGGGGAGGCTGAGGGCCTTACCCAGTGAGGATATAAGTGTAAAGTTCTCCAGCATCACATGGTGGTAGAGCCGTCTCTGAGTCTCATCAAGAAGCTTCCACTCCTTCCAGGAGAAGTACACAGCAATGTCCTCAAAGGTCACACCACACTTTCATGAAAAGGACAAATGAAACCATGAACGTTCTCTCTCTGAGAACACATAATCCAACCCCCCAAACATCCACCCCAGTCTCCCCACTTCAGAATAAATACCAGGTCCTGGTACCTTTAATGCTGCTCTCCTCTCACCTTCCCATCAATCACTGTGTTCAGTCCTCAGCAGTAACAGGCAGGGGGACACATGGATGCACTCTAAGCTCTGGGTTTGGCCTGCAAGGTCCCATCCCTCTGCCACGATATTCCCATGGAGTCTCCCAGTTGTGCCCTCAAGACAGCCAATTATAGGCCCTGATTTACCCGGAAGTCTTCAGTACCTGGGCGCTGAGGCCTTTAGCTCACACTTCCCCTCCATGTGTACAGGATTCTGTAGACTGTACCACTCTCACGTCTTCAGGCCCCACAGATGAACTCCCACACCTTCCTCCCCACACCAAAGGATCCTCCCTTGACTCACACTTGTGCTTGTCACATGACATCCAAAGGATGTTTGACAAACTCAAACAGGTTCCAGTCCCACCCCAGGACTCTCAGGGATCCCAAATGAGGGAAAGCCTCAAATGCTGCTGAGAAGCCCTCCTCACCTGCCTGTAATCTTCCCTTCAATAAGAGACACTCACAACCACATGTCAGCTTAGAGTACTCATAGACCCTCTTCTACTTCTGTGCCACCCATACTGTCCCTCAACAATCAGAACCCACCACTCTCCACTGAACCTTTGTGAAAACCCGAGCGCTAAAGGTCTCCTTGCCAGGCAAAGCGAACCACAAATGACATCTGCCCCAGAACTTTCCCAGCGGCAAGACTTTGCAATACCGCAGACACCGTAAGAGCTGACCACAAGATTCTGGTGAAGCCCTACAATACTAAATAAAGAGAATCCCCAACCGCTCAAATACTCGTAGGAGGGGCCGCCTGGGTGGCTTACTGGGTTCAGCATCTGACTCTTGATCTCAGCACAGGTCTTGATCTCAGAGTCATGCGTTCAAGACTCATGCTGGGCTCCACACTGGGAATGGAGCCTACTTAAACAAAGAAATTAAAAAACAAAACAAAACCCACAAAACTCCTAGTTGTCCTCAGCTACCTCTTGTCCCATCATCCCAGGGAAGGCTTGCCCATGTTTCTGCCAGATCATTCTCTCTCCTTCACCTGTGTTCACAATGCCCAGCAACCCCAAGCACATGCTGAGGAAGAAAACCACTCTTCAGCAGACTTTACTAGGACCCTCTGACCTACTAGCAGTATTACCATGATACTCTGCATTCCCTTCCTAGTTGTGATCCAGATCTCCACCCGGGCCACACAGCAGCCATCACTTTTCAAACCCTCCATCCTGAAACCTTCCCCCAGTTTCCCAAAACATCTTGTCCAGCTGCCCACTTGGCACCATCACTCACACTTCTCCGAACATCTAAGTCGCTTAACAATGTCAAAACAAGGTAGGACATCCCCAAGGATACGCAACCGACTGCTAACTTCCATCAGGCTGATGGGCGCTTCCGTCCCTTCAGCTGCCAGGACCTGTGAAAATCAGTGATGGGAAACCTCACGGAAATGGAGTCGGGAGGTTGAGGCACAGGGAGCTCTCAGGCACTGCCAGTGATCAACTGCAGACGCAACCCACAGAGACGGACTTGACCTTATATGGGGATACTTCTTCACAAGCACAGACCCAAAAAGACAGTCTGTCCTGAGCGCCCCACCCAACGGCTCAGCCAATGAGAAGCCACTGTACCAGCACTTCCCGTTGCCTCCAGGGGACTTACGTTTACAACACCTTCCCGACTTCACCCCTTTCCCCTGAAAAAAGACCACCCCTCTTGCCCTCCGCGCCGACCTACTGCTTGGACTCCGCTTCTCCGTTCCAAACTGCACTTCTCTTCCGTCTCCACAGAAACCCGTTCGTGCGGGTAAAATAACTGTCCGCTCTTGCTTCGTTCTTAGGGTCACGGACCCGAAGCCCCGGGGCCTCCCTCGCTCCCCCTTCTCTCCTCACCTGCAACACCCACCCTTTGCCGTAGCCCTTCTCAGAACGTACCCCAGGAGTCCACCAGTCCTCCGACATCCGAGGCGGGCCGAGCAGCAGTCCGCGGACAGTGCCACCGACTCCTGCCATTGCCTCCTCGCTTAGCCCCGCGGCGGGCTCTCCCCTCTGGCGGCCGGAGAACGCCTATTCACACCCGGCCGAGCCCACCTCACGCCCGCCAGGAGAGACGGGCTTCTCGGGCAGCGAGGGGACGGGCCTCACGGCCGCGCGGCACTGCGCTCCCGACAGGAAGGACGGCGAGCTGCTGTTGCCCGCCGCTGGCGCGGCCCCCTCCCGCCTCGGCCCCGGCCGCCCTCGGCCCGGAGCCCGCTCCCGCACGGGGCCCCCGCCCGCCGCCGCCCGCCTGTCCCGGACGCCGGGGCCTGGGCCGCGGGGGTCTGGGTGCGGGGACGACGCTTACCGGAGCCGGGCCCCTGCGCGCGGCCGCCGCCATCGGACTCGCTGGGCCGAGCGAGGCCGGAGGTGGGCGGACACCCGGACTCGACCGCGTGCGGCGAGGACAGCGCCTCCCCTCGCGTCTTCACGGCCGGTCACCGGAGCCTGACGCGCGCTCCGGCAGCTTACGGGACAAACAGACCCAACCTGAGGCAGAGAGACCTCCTGGGGGATGAGACCGGAAGTCCCGCCCCCGGGGCTTGCGCTCGCCTGGAAACGCCGTGTGCTGTTCCCTCATTGGCTGCTCGCCGCGTCCGCGGGCCGGGCTCTTCCGGGTGGGGCGGCTCCCGGAGCTCTGGCGGTCTCCGGCAGGGGGTGCCCCCCCCTGGAGTTGCCGAGCTGTGGTCACGTGGCGCCCTGAGGGACGCTGGAAAGCGCTGCTCCTCGCCGGGGGGACGGCATTTGCTCCTCGTTAAAGGCAGAGAAGAGCTATGCTTTCAGACTCCGTGAATGTCAGTCAGCTTCCAGAGAAAACTACTATTTTAGATGCTCTTAAATACTTTTACTGAGCTCATTGACATATTATTTTGTACAGCACTTCAAAAAGAAATGAGTCTGTGCATAGCTAGAAAGATGTTGTTCCTCATCAAATGCTTGCACCCTGAAACATTACCGCCAGTTTTGGACTTGGTTAGCAAGAACACAAAAAAGTCCCTGTTAACAACAAAAATTCAGCCCAGTACATTGTAAAGGTCTGTTGGCATTATTCATGGATTCGTGGATTGGGCAGCACCGCATCTAACAAGTAGATGGCAGCTCCAAAGCGCTATGAAAAGGGAAAGTTGTTTTTGTTTTTTTAAGATTTTTATTTGACAGAGAGAAACACAGGGAGAGAGGGAACACAAGCAGGGGAAGCGGTAGGCAGGCGAAGAAGCAGGCTTCCCGCAGAGCAGGGATCCTGATTCTGGGCTGCATTCCAGGACCCTGGGACCCTGACCTGATCCGAAGGCAGATGGTTAAGGACTGAGCCACCCAGGCGCAGGGAAAGGGAAAGGTTTTTAAAGGTAGGACAAAAACATCATTAACAGAGAAAGGGATCATGTCACATGAGGTCACCTTATTGTGAGGACAAAAGAGTCTTATTAGGAGACTCTGTCATCTTTCTTTGGGGAATGGAGTGGGCCTATCCATGTAGATTATCTTTTTGGTACTGACCAGAAAATCCCTGACTGAGCTTGGAAACTAAATTTCTGGGGGAAGTTGAAAGTTCAGTGAGCTTCGGTATTATGCCCTGGTTTGGTGACAAGGCCTAGTGGAAGTGACTCCATTTGGGCCCGTGGTTTCCTCTTGCACACCCATTACAGGTCTGTGACATTGAAGGACAGGGATGGTAGGCCACCCCCAATGAAGTGGTCAAAGACGCGGTCAGGCTCTGGTTCCACATTAAACCTCTCTTGCCTGTATAGTGATTATGTAACATCTATCGAGGACCCTTTTTTTTTTTTTTTTTTTTTAAGATTTTATTTGTCAGAGGGCGCCTGGGTGGCTCAGTTGGTTAAGCGACTGCCTTCGGCTCAGGTCATGATCCTGGAGTCCCGGGATCGAGTCCCGCATCGGGCTTCCTGCTCGGCAGGGAGTCTGCTTCTCCCTCTGACCCTCCCCTCTCTCCTGTGCTCTCTCATTCTCTCTCTCAAATAAATAAATAAAATCTTTAAAAAAAAAAAAAAGATTTTATTTGTCAGAGAGAGAGTGCACACAACCAGGGTGAGCGGCAGGCAGAGGGAGAAGTAGGCCCCCGCTGAGCAAGGAGCCCAATGAGGGACTCGATCCTGGACCCTGGATCATGACCTGAGCTGAAGGCGTACACTTAACCGACTGAGACACCCAGGTGTCCCTATCAAGGAACACTTTTATCCATGTACTTCTATGTACTCAATTCCTTTTAGGAATCTGACATCATCCCAAACATAGAGCAACTTAATCGATGCTATTTTTGGTACCAAACACATGTTGCCATTTTCAGTTGGAGCAAGTGTGCAAGGGGAGAATCTGAGCCCTGAAATAAAGGGTTATCTGAGGGGCGCCTGGGTGGCTCAGTTGGTTAAGCGACTGCCTTTGGCTCAGGTCATGATCCTGGAGTCCTGGGATCAAGTCCCGCATCGGGCTCCCTGCTCAGCAGGGGGTCTGCTTCTCCCTCTGACCCTTTACCCTCTCGTGCTCTTTGTCTCTCATTTTCTGTCTCTCAAATAAATAAATAAAATCTTAAAAAAAAAAAAAGAAAAAGAGGTTTTAGTTGTGACAGTGTTTCATTGGCTGCATGTCCCTGGTTAGTGTGTGGTTGCTGGGGTAAGGAGAGATAATCCTTTCTTGTTCAAAGCAGGAGATTAAATTCCTACTGGGAAAGTGTCCTTCCTTGTCAAGATAAAAGTAATATTCTTTTTTTCCTGCTGATTTTCCATTCCTCCCCGTGTGAATGCTCCATTTTATTTTTTTAATAGATTTTATTTATTTGTGCATGAGAGAGAGGAGTGGGGGAGGGTTAGAGGGAGAGACTCTGAAGTGGACTCCCCGCTGAGGGCAGAGCCTGATGTGGGGCTAGATCTCATGACCCTGAGTTTATGACCTGAGCCAAAATCAAGAGTCAAATGCTTAAAGGACTATGCCATCCAGGCACCCCATTAGAGCTCCATTTTAAATGTGGTTTCCTTTACTAATTTTCACACCACTTTGGAGAGAGACTTGAGGAAATTTACGATACCCAAAGTAGTTAAAATGAGAAGGAAATTGAAATGTCATGTTTAGGGGCGCCTGGGTAGCTCAGTCAGTTAAGTGTCTGCTTTTGGCTCAGGTCATGATCCTGGGGTCCTGGAACCAAGCCCTATGTCTGTCAGGTTCCCTGCTCAGTGGGCAGTCTGCTTCTCCCTCTCCATCTGCCCCTCCCATTGCTTGTGCTCTCTCCCTCTCTCTCTCTCAAATAAATAAAATCTTTTAAAAAAAGAAATGTAATGTTTATTCACTCTCCTAACAAATGTGCATTGAGCACATGCTGGTTTCTCAGGAACTTTGGTAGATGCATGGGAGAAACTCAGGCACAAGACAAGCAGCCCTGCCTTCAAATGCCTTGTATTATGGTCAAGGAAAACACAGGAAACAGGAAAGCAGAATTACTAAGTTATATTCTATGTTAGAATGAGGTAGGTAAAATGGAAACAAGGAGAGGTGATTTTGTGAGAAGAGGGGTCCAGGTGTAATAATCCACTGGGCAGAAAGGGAACCCTCGTTGATTTTAAGAGCACCACTGAGCAAGGATGAGTCCTGTGGGTTTTTATTTTCATTAGCTCTCTTAAAAGATGAAATGAGCTACATGAAAATTTCAAAGAGCTTATTTGTACAAACACCAAATCCATTCAGACAGCACCAAACCAAATTAGGTAAAGGCTTTTGTAGACCAAAAAAGGGAAGCAAAGCAGTAAGTTATGTGATTGGCTATTAGTTAAGGCAGTGTCTTATTTGGGAAACTAGTTGACTTGTGTGTGTGTGTGTTTTAAGTAGGCTCCATGCCCAGCATGGAGACCAACGTAGACAGCTTTGTGTGATTCGGTGTTTTTAGGTTGAGGCATTTAGAAGATTTTGCTCCAGGTTAGGTTTCAGTTTGCCTATCTAGGTGGTAGGACATTGTAGCCACCCACACCTAGTGGCCTCTTTGTTGATTGGCAGTTCCACACGAAAGAAGCAGGTGCCTAGGTGGCTTCCTGTGGACTCTTCTGCAGTGGAGACCCTGGGACTCCAGCACTTTAAGCCTTTGGCCTGCTTGGCTCACTGCAGAAGCACTCAGCAGTTGTGCATGAGAACCCTTAGCTCTGTAGCTCATCACAGTCTGTACATCTACAGCCTCCTGTCCTGGAGCCTAGAGGGAGGCAGCCTGGCCTTCCCTAAATAACTTGTTTTCACAGTTTCATCTCTACACTGACCCTCTCCATCAGCTTCACGTCAACTCATTAGAAATGCTCATTGTCAGCCTACAACCGAGACCTCTTGACTCAGACACTTTGGTGGTAGCCCAAGAATTAGTTTTTAAAGAAGTGTCTGGGTAAAATAGATGCAGAGTAAAACATTCCATCCGCTAGTTGCGGTTCCTGAAGACAGGGCACTTATTCTTTTTTTTTTTTTTTTTTAAAGCTTTTATTTATTTATTTGACAGAGAGACACAGTGAGAGAGGGAACACAAGCAGGGGGAGTGCAAGAGGGAGAAGCAGGCTTCCCGCCGAGCAGGGAGCCCGATGTGGGGCTCGATCCCAGGACTCTGGGACCATGACCCGAGCCGAAGGCAGGCACTTAACGACTGAGCCACCCGGGCACCCCGACAGGGCGCTTATTCTTGTCATTTAATCTCCTCTATTGCTGCAGGACTTCAGAACAGATGCTGCAAAATTTATTAGCACACGTTTATTCTCTTCATTAAAAAAGTAATGTCTAGAATGTCTGATTTTCTGTTATTAATGGATTACTACTCCTTTATGAACGTTGAAAGTGAAAAGCTTCTAGCCACTCTACCTGGTACAGAAAAACAATGTTTGCAGTATGGTGTCCTTTTAGAATTGCTTTTTCACATGAATGGATCACTCTGTGTGTGTCTCTGTGTTCAAATATCTCCCTATGTTTCCAAAACCCAGTTTTGGCTTTCTAGCACTTCAAAAGTCAATACTGAAGAGACAAGTGGTGATTGGAAAGCAACATAATCTTAATTTAGGAGGCTGGCCACCTAGGGAGAAGGTGGGCTCTATTACAAACGCCAACTCCAAGGTTTCTGCCTGCCCACGGGTTTTTAAGGTTAGGACAGTGAACCATAACATTTCTTGACTACATGCACACTCGATGGTGCTAGCTATAGATGTTATCACAGTGCTGGGACGTTGTGCAAGGGGTCTGGTTCCTTAGTGCCCTGGGGTTGTGCAAGAGGCTCTGTTTTGCTTTGTGGCATTCAGAAGTGCTCAGTTTTCTAGGAGAGAATGCATGATCTATAGATAAAACAGAAAGGTGAATCGATCATGTAGGCTAAGGGTGCTTGTTAAACCTTCAAGATTACTAGGTTGGCTGGAGGGCCCGAGGTGGCTTCACCCATACAGTTTTTCTTACTATTGAAAGAAGACCTCGGCTGGCCCCATTTTGACGTCAAACTTTCTAGTCAGGTTCATCTTGTCTCTTGACTCAGATGGAAGATCCCGATAGCAAAGCGTCCCCTGACGGGAACCGACGGGAACCAAGAGTAGCCCCTCAAGTACTAAGGATTGCCCTGAGCCAGCAAGTCCCGACCCATGACGGACTCCAAGACAATGATCTATTTGACTTTCACTGCCTACCTGCACGTACCCATCCACCTTGGCCCCACATTTTCCTTTTTTTTTTTTTTAAGATTCTATTTTCTTGACAGAGACACAGCTAGAGAGGGAACACAAGCAGAGAGAGTGGGAGAGGGAGAAGCAGGCTTCCCGCAGAGCAAGGAGCCCGATGCGGGGCTCGATCCCAAGACCCTGGGATCACGACCTGAGCCGAAGGCAGATGCTTAACGACTGAGCCACCCAGGCGCCCCCACGTTTTCCCTCTTTAAACCCTAAAGTGTGGGGCGCCTGGGTGGCTCAGTCGTTGAGCGTCTGCCTTCGGCTCGGGTCGTGATCCCAGGGTCCTGGGATCGAGCCCCACATCGGGCTCCCTGCCGATGTACTCAACAACTTCCAGGTGTCTCCTCTGTCTCTGCACCACCCCTGCCTTCCCACCCGGCACCAGGCCGCCCTGCAGGCCCCTTCCTGGCATAATCTCCGAGATGAGACCATGATCCCGCGTGTGTCCCGAGGGTGGGAAAAACGTCCGCAAGTTCCCACAGGCCTGACCTAGGGCCCTCTTCCTTCTGGACTCGTTTTTCGGGCGGAGAGGGAGGCCAGCACTGACCCGGAAGTTCTGGGTGAGGCCCCGCCCAGGAGCGGAAATCCCTCTCTTCCGGGAGAGGCCCCGCCCCACCTAGCTCCCTGGCCTTCCTGGCCGGGGTGAGGACGGAAGTGGCCCAGCGCCCGCGCCCGCGCCCCGTACCCCGACCCGCTGGCTTCTCCGGAGATAGCGGTCCGGTAAGACATCCCAGAACAGTGGTGAGAGGCACGGAATGTCGACTGTTTGGGGACCAGCAGTCAACTATTACAGAAAGATTAGAAATTAAATCACTTGGAGGCTGGCGTCCCACGGTGAGAATTTCTCCCAGTGTACTGGGTGGAATCGGAGGAGGCGACTCTGACCTGAGTGGCTGTACATGACAACCTTGTCACTACTAACGTGAGACCAGCCAGATTTTCAGTCACCAGTCAGGGTGTTCAGGGACGTCCCTCCCCTCTGGCCTGTCAGGATTAAGGTCTCCTGCCTGTGAGGCTCCTGCAGACCTCCAGCCAGCTCACAGCCCCCACAGCTGTCTGCCTGGCCTTGTAAAGGCTCCTGCACACGCCAAGCTTTAGTTTTCCACCTAACACCCAAGTAGTTTTTCAGCGCCTTCTCTGAGCATATCCCGCTCTCATAATGGGAGAATTTACAGTTTGTAAATAGCCTAATACTATAAAGTGGGGCTGGATTTTTGTATTTCTGAATTCTGCACTTAAAGTCCGGACGTGACGGTAAGAATGCACCCTAAACTTAAACATGTATGGTGTTTTGGGTCATGACATAGGACACAAAAAAATCTGAGGAAAAATAATAAAGAGCCTTCCAGTATTTAGAAACAATTACTCCATATAGAAAAATGATCAACCAATATAAAATCCAGGACAACTCCAACATATGTCTACTAAAAAAACAATAGTCTTGAACACTACATCTAAAACTAATGATGTGATATATGTTGACTAAGTGAATTTAAATTAAATAAATAAAATAAAAAACAATACTCAACTGAGTAAATTTGAACATCAGATTATCTCCACAGCATCCCATCTAACAGAAAGGGTCTCAAAGGGGCAGAAAGGTTTTAAAGGCAGGACAAGCAGGACAAGGACATTGTGAAAACAAAAATGGATTATTTGGGCAAAGTCACCTCCTTTTGGGGGACAACAGGGACTTATTAGGAGGATTACATCACCACCGTAACCAGGAAGCTTCAGGCTGACTGACGGAAAGTGAAAACTACAATCAGGTTAGCTCTTAAGCCCGGATTTGGTGATGCAGTGGTAGCAAAGTGACTCCACTCGGGGCCTGTGGTTTTCTTTTAAAATGTCTTTGTTGTTTTATTGTCTTATTTGTAAATGAAAAGGAAAATCACTGTAACTTACACACAAGAAAGTGGCAAATGAGGTTAATGGAAAAGCAATACAAAAGATTTGCAATTGGCAAATAAGACATTTTAAAAATGCTCAAAATCGGGGCACCTGGATGGCTCAGTAGTTAAGCGTCTGCCTTAGACTCAGGTCATGATCCCAGGGTCCCGGGATAGAGCCCCGCATCAGACTCCCTGCTCCGCAGGAAGCCTGCTTCTCCCTCTCCCACTCTCCCTGCTTGTGTTCCCTTTCTTGCTGTCTCTGTCAAATAAATAAAATCTTTAAAAAAAAAATGCTCAAAATCATGAATCTTTCAGGAAATGCAATTAAAACTACACCGAGGGGTGCCTGGGTGGCTCAGTCGTTAGGCGCCTGCCTTCGGCTCAGGTCATGATCCCAGCGTCCTGGGATCGAGCCCCGCATTGGGCTCCCTGCTTGGCGGGAGGCCTGCTTCTCCCTCTTTCACTCCCCCTGCTTGTGTTCCCTCTCTCGCTGTGTCTCTCTCTGTCAAATAAATAAATAAAATCTTTAAAAAAAAAAAACAAAACTACACTGAGATTGTGCTACACACTTATTACATGGGCTGAAATTAAAGAATGGCCATATCAAGTATTGGCAGGGATGTGGGAGAACTGGACTTTTCATCCACTGCTGATGCGAATCCAAAAGCAAAAAACAGTCATTGTGATCACAGCACAGCAGTTTTTTCAAAAGTTAATACTCATCTACCCTGTGACTCAGGTAGCTAACATTAAGTTACTGACAAAAATAAAAACAGCATACATCTATATAAAAGTACTGACAAATGTTTGTGACTGCTTTATTTTCAATAGGCAAAATCTAGAAATAACCTAAAAGCCCATAAAAAAGATAAAGTAACAGTGGCATATGCAAACATAAGGATGTTATCTAGACAGAAAAGTGAGCTACTTGTATAACATCACTGAAGAAGTCAGAGTAATTATGAAACACAAAGGAAATAAAAAAAAAGAGTAAACAGTTTGATTCCAAACATATAAATTAAAAATGTGATGGTTTCCATTGTAAAACAAAGTATAATGGTTACCTGGAGAGGTGGGCAGGGTAAGGAGAGATTATAATAGGGCAGGAGGTAATATATACCATGACATCTATGGTCATTATCGGGATTATCATGGTGTCAGAGATTCATATCCCTGTCAAAACTTACCAAATTTTACATTCTTAAATATATGCAATTTATTAGCATCTATAAATTAAACTTTTATAAAGTTTAAAAAATTGGCTCAAAATAAAAATAGGTTTGGCAACCCTATCCTGACAGCACCACCTTGTTCCCATGTCCTCTGAGCCTCAGTCTTGCCTCAGTGTCTCCAACTAAAGGGAGCAATGAAGGACGTTTCCACCGGAGTTAACAGGAACACTGCCTGGGTCTTAAGCGCCACATCAACAAACTATAGATTCCGCCCCTCACCTCTCTTAATATCTTGTTTTCCTCTCTGTGCAGTAATGATCTTGAGGTGGGAAACATGGAGCGGTTAAAGGAATCACCAGTATCTTTCAATTATTCTATCTGACAATGACTTCAGCTACATTGATTTGTGTACACACTCATCCTGCAGAGTCACTGTCACAGAAACTGGTCTGGATGCATTTTTAGAAGAGAAACATTCCATAGTTGGCTGCAGTCTCCTCCCCTGCCTATTTTTAATCTTTTTTTTTTTTAAAGATTTTATTTATTTATTTGAGAGAGAGAATGAGATAGAGCATGAGAGGGGGAAGGGTCAGAGGGAGAAGCAGACTCCCTGCTCAGCAGGGAGCCCGATGCGGGACTCAATCCAGGGACTCCAGGATCATGACCTGAGCCGAAGGCAGTTGCTTAACCAACTGAGCCACCCAGGCGCCCCTCCTCCCCTGCCTATTAAGCCAGTGTTTCTGTACCAATTACGGTTTCCCTTGACCCCTATGGTCTTACAGCCAGTGACCTTAGCCCAGTGAATTGTGGACATCAGAGCACATGGCTATTTGTAGGCATGGGAAAATACCCCCTCGGCAGTGCTGACATCCCGTGATGTCTCCTTTGAGTAAGGGAAAAAATTCATGTTGCTTTCAGAAGTACCAAGAGTCTCACACCTGCCCCCTCCTGGGGGTCATCATTGAGGCTCCTAAAACACATGTCATCCAGGCCTCAAACGAAGACCAGAAAGCCCCGCAGTTTTTCCCAGGAGGCTGTGAGGCAGCAATGCAAATTTAGTCCAAACTGGCAGGCTGCTGGGACGCCTGGCTGGCTTATTCAGTAGAGCTTGTGATTCTTGACTGCGGGGTTTTGAGTTTGAGCCCCAAGTCAAACACACAGTTTACTTAAAAAACAAAACAAAACAGCGGCCTCCGCCGGACAGACGGGACCCCAGTGCCCGGCCTCCCCGAGGGCATGCGGCGCTGAGGAGCAGCGGACCTTCGTGGTGGCGCCATGAACCTCCTGCCGTGTAAGCCCCACGGCAACGGGCTGCTCTATGCCAGCTTCAACCAGGACTACGGATGCTTTGCCTGTGGGATGGAAAACGGATTCCGAGTCTATAACACCGATCCGCTAAAAGAAAAAGAGAAACAAGAATTTCTGGAAGGAGGAGTTGGCCATGTTGAAATGTTATTTCGCTGCAATTATTTAGCTTTAGTCGGTGGTGGGAAAAAGCCAAAATACGCCCCCAACAAAGTGATGATCTGGGATGACCTGAAGAAGAAGACTGTTACTGAAATAGAATTTTCTACAGAAGTCAAAGCAGTCTAGCTGTGGTGAGATTGAATTGTGGTTGTTTTGGACTCAATGATTAAGGTGTTTACGTTCACACATAATCCTCATCAGTTACATGTCTTTGAAACCTGCTATAATCCTAAAGGCCTCTGCGTCCTGTGCCCCAACAGTAACAACTCCCTCCTGGCCTTCCCGGGCATACACATGGGCCACGTGCAGCTCGTGGACCTGGCCAGCACCGAGAAGCTGCCTGTGGACATTCCAGCCTATGAGGGTGTCCTGAGCTGCATTGCTCTCAACCTGCAGGGAACAAGAATTGCAACTGCATCTGAGAAAGGGACCCTTATAAGAATATTTGATACTTCATCAGGGCATTTAATCCAGGAACTACGAAGAGGATCTCAAGCAGCCAATATTTATTATATTAACTTCAATCCGGACGCTTCCCTCATCTGCGTGTCCAGTGACCATGGCACAGTGCACATTTTTGCTGCCGAAGATCCAAAAAGGAATAAACAGTCTAGTTTCAGGTTCCCTTAGGCTCTCCGTGCATCTGTGCCTTTGGAACAGAGCCAAATGCCATCATTGCGATTTGTGCAGACGGCAGCTACTACAAATTCCTATTCATCCCCAAGGGGGAGTGCATCCGGGACGTCTACGCACAGTTTCTAGAAATGACCGATGACAAGCTGTGACTCCACCGGGAGTGCAACCAGCACCCACAGCCGGCCACCCCCGAAGCGCTGCGTGTGCCCTTCAGACTCCTGGGGTGGGTGCTGGTGCCCTTGGGCCTCGTGGGTCAGCGGCTGGAGGACTGCCCAGGGACCTTGGTCCTGAGGCCATTCTGTGGTTGTCTGTTTTCTTGAGCAGGGCTTCCCATTTCCAGTATTAAAGGACGAATCATCATCAAGGCAGTGTAGACGCTCAGTGGCTCTGAGCCGCCTGGGCCCGACTGCTGGCCCGCGACCTTTAGTTCAGCTTTGACGCTAGCTTCTGCCCTCCCACCTGCGCCTCCCCCGTGCACCTGGGGGCTCCGTACACATGTAGGGACTGGGTTGACAAAGGGATGGACAAATACAAATTTGTTTTGGCAATAGATTCCATCATTTTTACTGAGTCTGTAATGGGGAAATGAACAAATGTGTCAATGCGAGTTCTTGCATTACACCAGATTTCTAAATAGAACAAGAATACCAGCAGCTTGCCTTAGAAAAGGAGAAAGGAATTCCTTCTCCCCTCTGAACATGACGCAAAGAGACAACCGTGTCAGAGAGCCTAGGGTGGGCGTCTCCCTGTGAGCTGGCGTCCTGGTCTCCCGGGTCTGTGGCGCAGCCGTCCCCGTCTGTTTGTCTGTCGAAGCTGTTGGCATCACCCACGGCGAGCAGAGCGCTTCGTGTGCCCCGCGGGTCTCCTGAGTTTCCCCGTTGTGTGTAGGGAGCAGAGTAACACCGAGATGGTCACTTAATTTAGAGGATGTGGAGGGAAGGGTTGGGTGCCACAGCGGCCGGGCCGGACACCGGGGCAGGAGCGAGAAGCCTCAGCCCGCCGCGCCCCCGTCGTTGCTCAGAGCCACTCTCACTAGCATTCTGAGAAGGGAAGGCACATGACAACATTTCCTAGCATCGGTGTCTGAAACAGGTTATGGGCTCTGTTGTTAGTACTCCCAAAGGTACGTATTCCGTTTTCTTAAATTCCCTTTACAGAAGCCTAATTGTATGGTTTTGATTTCAGGTTGTAAACATTGAAAGTCTGCAGCGGCAGCTCCTGGTTCTGCCAGTTCTCTCTCACTGTCATGTAATCAACTAACTTTGTATGTGGATTTCAGTGTAAAGTATGCATGTTACTTTGGTGTGTATTTAATCATGAAATTTAATTTTGCACTTATTTGTAATGTTTCTTTTAAATAAAAGTGACTAATTTTGTTGTACTCTGTAAAAAAAAAAACACCAAAAACAGAGGTGCCTGGGTGGCTTAGTCGTTAAGCGTCTGCCTTCGGCTCAGGTCATGATCTCAGGGTCCTGGGATCAAGCCCTGCATCCGGCTCCCTGCTCAGCGGAGAGTCTGCTTCTCCCTCTCCCTCTGCCTGCCACTCTGCCTACCTGTGCTCTCTAGCTCTCTGTCAAATAAATAAAATCTTTAAAACAAAACAAACAAACAAAACAAAACAAAATTGGCAAGCTATTTCCTGCCATCCTCTCCCTCCTCAGGCACAGATAATTTGAGACTCTTAAACAGTTCACCCTTTGATGCTTGTTGAGCCCAAATCATTTTATAAACTACCCCTCACAGTAAGTAGAACATTCAAGGTTAAAGAGGACTTAAACAGTAAGGCCTTGATTATTATCTTAGCCAAATCAACGTGGAGCAGGTAGTTCTCCAGTTTGTGACTTGGAACCTGGAAAAACTAATCAGAAGTATCACACGAGACCAACATGTTCCTGAAAAAGGTAGTCATTCTCTATAAGCTGCCAGCCAAATTCATGTTGTTCTCTGGGTTATCACTGATTCAGGTCAATGCCCTGAAGGTATTCAAGGAGGAGGCAAAGCTGCCCCTAAGACCTCAGGTTACTGCTAATCTGCTCCAATTCATGGGAACCGAGGTCAGCTTCTCTGAGTACACTGGGGTGAGGACTGATGCGCACCGTGTTGGCAGAAGTGAAAGGGTCACAGAACCGTCAGTTACATAAATCTAGAGAGATCTCTGGACAATTTAGAAATGCAACATACCCACACATACTTCCGTTATAAAGAATCTCCCCACTGTAAAAGATTCAAATCAGGCAAGTGGCTCCTCAAAGAGTTTCCACCAGGGGCGCCTGGGTGGCTCAGTTGTTAAGCGTCTGCCTTCGGCCAGGTCATGATCCCGGGGTCCTGGGATCGAGCCCCGCATCAGGCTCCCTGCTCGGCGGGAAGCTTGCTTCTCCCTCTCCCACTCCCCCTTCTTGTGTTCCCTCTCTTGCTGTGTCTGTCAAATAAATATCTAAAATCTTAAAAAAAAAAAGTTTCCACCAGTGGCATTACATTGAATAAGGAAATCGCATATTCATTATACAACCATGCCTTTCTCTAGTGTGAACTCTCCAATGTTGAGAGAGGTTAGATTTTCCCCTAAAAGATTTCCCACATTCACTGCACTTATAAGGTCGTTCTCCAGTGTGAACCCTGTGATGATAAGAAAGAGCAGTACGAGTGATAAAAGATTTCCCACATTCACTGCATTCATGAGGCCTTTCTCCAGTGTGAACTCTGTGATGATAATGGAGGGCAGTACTACTTATAAAAGATTTCCCACACTCACTGCATTCATAAGGCCTTTCTCCTGTGTGAATTCTCTGATGATAATGGAAGCTGGAACTAAAAGTAAAAGATTTCCCACACTGGTTGCATTTGTAAGGGCTTCCTCCATTATGAATTCTCTGGTGTATTGAGAGTGAATGTTTTTGTCTAAAGGATTTCCCACATTCACTGCACTCATAAGGCCTCTCTCCTGTGTGACCTCTGTAATGATACCTAAGCGCAGAGCTAGAAGTAAAAGATTTCCCACACTCACTGCATTCGTAAGGCCTTTCTCCTCTGTGGGATCTCTGATGATAACTGAGGGCAGAGCGAGAGGTAAAAGATTTCCCACATTCACTGCACTCAAAAGGTTTTTCTCCAGAATGAACTCTATGATGATACTGGAGTTCATACCTACAAATAAAAGATTTCCCACATTCATTACACTCATAAAACCTTTCACTTGAATGAACCTTTAGGTGCATATTGAGGCTATTTCTTCGGGTAAAGGACTTGCCACATTCACTGCACTCATGAGGCCTTTCTCCAGTGTGAACTCTGCAATGATACTGAAGAGCACTATGAGTGCTAAAAGATTTCCCACATTCGCGGCACTCATGAGGCCTTTCTCCAGTGTGAACTCTGTGATGATAATGAAGGGCAGTACTACTTATAAAAGATTTCCCACACTCACTGCACTCGTAAGGCCTTTCTCCTGTGTGAATTCTCTCATGATAATGGAAACTGGAACTACAAGAAAAAGATTTCCCACATTTGTTGCATTTGTAAGGGTTTCCTCTACTATGAATTTTCTGGTGTATTGAGAGGGAATGTTTTTGTCTAAAGGATTTCCCACATTCACTGCATTCGTAAGGCCTCTCTCCTGTGTGACCTCTGTGATGATACCTGAGTGCAGAGCTAGAAGTAAAAGATTTTCCACACTCACTGCATTCATAAGGCCTTTCTCCTCTGTGGGATCTCTGATGATAACTGAGGGCAGAGCGATAGGTAAAAGATTTCCCACATTCACTGCACTCAAAAGGTTTTTCTCCAGAGTGACTTCTGTGATGATACTGGAGTTCATACCTACAAATAAAAGATTTCCCACATTCACTACACTCATAAGGCCTTTCACCTGAGTGAACCTTTAGGTGCATATTGAGTCTATGTCTTCGGGTAAAGGACTTGCCACATTCACTGCACTCATAAGGCCTTTCTCCAGTGTGAACTCTGTGGTGATAATGGAGAGTAGTATGAGTGCTAAAAGATCTCCCACATTCACTGCACACAAAGGACTGTCTTCCAAGGTGGACACCCTGGTCCTGAATATGTGTGTGTTTGGGACCAAAGGCGTTCTTGCATTCTCCCCAGGTGTCATGACTTTTTCTGCTTTGTAAAGTTGCCCTGCACTGGGTGATTTCCTTTGGATTCTCCCCAGTATGAGTGGCCTCTTGCTGCAGATGCCCCGAGCCAGACAGGAAGTCCTTCTGAACTTCTCCAAAGGTAGGGGGCTTTCCTGAACCATGGAATCCCCAGCTCTTCACAACAGAGGCCCTGTCCACACGGCTTCTGAAGGGTTCTGCTCCCACGTGCTGCTCCTGCTGCTGCTGCAACTTTACATTGAAATAAAATCGTTTCCCACAGGCCCCACACCTCAACAGTCTCTGGCTGTTTTCTTTTCCCTGGTGCGCAGCCAAGTGGAAAATGTCTCTCAAGACTGGACCACACATCTCACAGGGGTGGGTCTTCCGGGAAGACTGAGCTGCCTTGGGCGTCCTGGTCTGTGACACGCCTACAGAAGTGCTCTGGGCAAAGGGTGCCTCCTCATCCTCTGCTCCACAGCAACAACCTGAAGGCAAAGAAGCGCTGGTGAAATTTGTGTTGACTATAGCGAGGGGGTGAGCCATCACATACATGCACCCGACTCATCCAGGCAGGACCGTATAGCATGCTTTTCCACACACAGGAGATGAAATTCAACTGAAGGAGTGGCCGACGTGCATTACTGGGCCCGAGTGGTCAAAGTATTATGGAGAGCACACTAGCCAGAAGGAAGAGAGGCAGGCTCTACAACTTGTTCTCTGCCCACAGCTTCATGTTGGTCTGTTTCTTGGCTGAGTAGAAGGCTGTGGGAAAATCCACTCACAAGAAATTTGCTGCTGTTCAAGGTCAGTTTAAGTATATGTCAACATCTCATGGCAAACAGGGCAAGTGTGGATGCCAAAGTACACAGAGCAGTGAGAGAAATGGGTGAGATGTAGAGGCCTGAGAAGCAGCGATTACTCCTGCACTGCAAGTCATGTAATTACAAAAGGAGTAGAACCCAGAAGTCCACAAATTGTCAACAGTGAAGAAGGAAAGACAGAAACGGGGTGTGGCCATCGGCAATCACACCGAACTCTGGTTGAACAAACAAAGGTGCCCAGTATGATCTGAACACAGGCCTGATATCACACCTTTCCCAGCTGCCATTCATGAGAAACAGGGCCCCTGTGAGCTCACCTGTTCATGCCCAGAGCATGTCCATACTATGATACCCAAAGGACTTTTCCCTGTAAGCCCTCCTGAGCAACTACAGGGTACCAGGAGGATAGAAATAATGCAGGAAAAGTGTGCCTGGGTGGCTCCGTCAGTTGGGCATCCGACCCTTGATCACAGATCAGGTCTTGATCACAGGGTCATGAGTTCAAGCACTGTGTTGGACTCCATACTGGGTATGGATGCTACTTAAGAAAAGAAAGGAAAGAAGAAAAAGAAAAGGGCAAGGAAAGGGCAAAGGAAAGGAAGGGAAAGGAAAAGGAAAGACAAGGAAAGAAATATTGGAGGAAAACAGGCCAAGTGGATGGCCAGCACTGTCCCAGAGCTACTCAGGATACAAAGCACCCAGACAAGCATCCTATGTGACTGATGTCAGCAGAATGGTAGAATAGGAGATACCATCCTTCACCCCAACAAAAATGAATTCAAGAGCTGTCCATGAATGACATTAGCTGCAGAGGGCTCAAAAATCCAATTAAGGCCAATTACTACACAGTGGAGCATAGAGGAGAGTGCAAGCATGCAGAAAGGACAGCTGGAGACTTTACTGGCGGAGATGTGGGGATGGGGCAGAAATAAGGGCTGGACTGATCTCTATCACTCACACAAGGCAGGTGCTACAGCAGTCCCTGCTCAGCAGACTCCAGCTGCCTGCTCCACAGCGGACACTGGCATCTTTTAACACCGAGTTAACCAACATGCATCACTATCGTGGACTCAGTGAATATAAAGCTACTGTATCCTGCTCCCCCCATTCAGGAGCTGCTGTTGTGCAGCTCCAGGACAAGGACTACAACTGCCCCCCAACCCTGTGCCTGTCCTGGGCCCCAGATCTGCGCCTATGTGTGCCAGCATTCCAGACCCTGACCCCCCGCTGCATCAGGTCCACCTGTGTCTTCTGGGGAATGGAAATATTCTCCAGATAGGCTAGCCAGGTGCCAGGACCTCACAGCCACTGTATGTCCATGCACACGCAGACACAAACTTCCTGGCTGCTTGGGGTGTGGCTGCAACTCACAAAGCAAACTAACACCACTGAGGTGTAATCAGCGTCTCAGGGCCAAAGCTGCTGTCACTCTGAAAGTGCCCGCACACCAGACCCTCTTCCATGGCTACTCCATGAGTGCCAGCCCATCAGACACCAGGCCGCTGCCACCACCCACAGGGTGCCTAAAAGTCAGACTCAGCACCGACATCAACTCTGCCACAATACTCTCCATGGAAAAAAAAGCCATCAGGTGTTCCTCAGCAGTCTTCTCCACTGCTTTGGATACTACAGCCTCGACCATCCTGCTGTCTCTTCCCCGATGCCTTCGCTGATGCTGACAGGTGACAGAGCTGCACAGAGAGTTTATCACTGGGCCTTCCCCAGATCCAGAACGGCCACACCCCACGAAGCTGACACCCTTGCACCCACCTGTAGGTGAAGGACTCTCCTGACCAAAAGTACCACAAAGTCTGGAAGAAGTGACCACACCATCAAATGTGCAAACATCAACGCAAGAATGTAAGAAACAAAAAATCAAGGAAACATAACACCATTAAAGGAATACAATAATTTATCAGAAAACACACCCAAGGAAATGGAGATATGCGATTGGACAAAATTCTTTCCTTTTTTTTTTTTTTTAAAGGAAACCACTTTTCTTTTTTTTTTTAAAGATTTTATTTATTTATTTGAGAGAGAGAATGAGAGAGAGAGAGCATGAGGGGGGGAGGGTCAGAGGGAGAAGCAGACTCCCCGCCGAGCAGGGAGGATCCAGGATTATGACCTGAGCCGAAGGCAGTTGCTTAACCAACTGAGCCACCCAGGCGCCCTATTGGACAAAATTCAAAATAATTGTTTTAACAAAGTTTAGTGAGCTACAAGAAAACACAGGTAGACGATTCAACAAGATACACAATAAACAAAATAAGCTGTTCAACAAAGATATAGAAATCATAAAAAGGAACAAAATGGGTTGGCCAAGGATGCAGTGAGGTGTAGTCACTGGTGGCCACCGGTGGTCTGAGTGGAGTGAGGAGTAGACTCACCTGAGAGTTGCATGTTATAGGCACACCTTCATCCAGATGCCCACAGGTGCCTGCCCCCACTGAGGTCATAGACATTGGCAGAGAGGAACAACAGGGTGGAGAATCACACCACACTTTATACTAGCAATACAGGAGAGTTCCTGGTGTGCCACTCTCCAAAAGGAGGGTCAGATATAAGCACTGAAAACTGAATCAATAGTTGGTAATAGTCCACCTAATCACCGATAGGACTCCTAATGAGACCACAGGCAGCTGGGAAGACATCAAAATATGAGGAAATGGAGCAGTACTAGATCATAATATATACTTATACAATACTAAATCCTCTTAATACCACCTACTTTTTAAGAACAAGGATGGCATATAATGTGTGGGAGAGAAGAATGTTTCTGTCTTTCTATATAGACTATCCTTAATGAACTGGTCTTTGTAGCAGAACTGTTCTACTCATTCTTCGTGTTAGAGAACATCCCACAGGGCTGCACCAGCACAACCAGTCTGTGCTTTTACAGTCTCTTCTTATCAATTACCAGAGTGATCTATGTGACCTTCCACCACTGGACTTGCATGGGTGGGTATTAAACTCTTCAGGCATAATTAAACCAACCAGAAACAAGATGGTATATGTATTCGTTTTGTCTTAGGTGTCTAGCTCTGAAATATCAACTAGATGGAAATACTGGAGACCCATTTAATTTGCAGCAAAGATGCTTTGCTTTGCTTCTGTTAAAGGATTAGGACTTTGGGAGGCTTAACTGCAGAAGTTTAGTTTATTGTACTCTTGTACTGCCCTTGTTTGTTGAATATTCCAACTTATAACTGTTGCATCAGAAGAAACATTTCAACAAAGTGTCCTTTGGATATTAACAACTGCAATCATCTGATGACTTTCTTATCCTCTAACTAAAAGTTACTCATTTGAGATGTTGTTTGTTTAGAATCAAGGTCCTTTGTATATTTACATGTTACAGGTGATGGAAATCATTCCAAAGGAGCTATTTTAGAATACATGTAGGGGCACCTGGGTGGCTCAGTGGGTAAGTGTCTGATTTCCACTCAGGTCATGATACTAGAGTCCTGGGATCAAGCCCCTCATGGGGCTCTGTGCTCGGTGGACAGTCTGCTTCTCTCTCTCCCTCTGCCCCTCCCCTCTGCTTGTGCTCGCACGTGCTCTCTCTCAAATAAATAAAATCTTAAGAAGAAAGAATACGTGTAGAGAAATGCTTTGAACTAGTGTGATATAAACTATACGATAAAATGGAAATTTCATATATTCACAAAAATTCTGAATTGGTAAAAATTAACTTAATCTCTGGTATTAAATGTTTACATTAAAATAAGATGGTGACACTGTCCCATTAAAAAAATGTGGGGAAAAGAGAAAGAGTCCAAGATGGTGGAGGAGTAGGAGACCTTAGTTCTGTCTGGTCCCAGGAATTTGGCTAGATAGCTATCAAATTATTCTGAATACCTGTGAACTCAACGGGAGACCTAAGAAAAGAATTGCTGCATGTCTACAAATAGAAAAGCAACCACTTTCTGAAAGGTAGGAGGTGTGGAGAAGTGAATTCAAGGTGATATATCAGAAGATAAACCACGGGGGTAGGGAGCCTCTGGAAGTCAGCCACTGGAAAGTGATACAGCAACAGAATGCAAAATCAGAACTTTTAGAAGGCTGTTCCAGTGAGGTATGTCCCTGCCTGAAAGGTGCTCAGGTAGCAAGCAAGGAAGAATACTAGGTGGGACAGTGTGGTCTCAGGATCCTTGGGGTCACAGAAAGAACGGGGGTGCCCGAGTGCTGCAGAGTCCCCAGACATTGGAGCGAGGAATCCGGCTGCAATCAGGGAGCCCAAGAGTGGGGACTCAGCTCAGTGTTGCCATAAAACATGAACTGCCACACAGTAGGGCAACCACTCTCCAAGCAAGGGCTCAGCAAGCATCAGAGCCCTGGCGAGATCCCTCTTCCGCATGCGCACTGCAAGGGTCTACAGGGTTTGGAGACTCCCAGGGTCCCAAACGCTTCGTCACAGGCTGGGTGAGCCACGGAGTACGGCCAGAGACCAGGGAGCCAGGAGTGACTGCCTGCATTTCCCTGAGGGTGCAGTGAGGAGTGGGGGGCGTGAGGTTCTGGCTCTGGGCCTGGAGACTGGGAGGCCGCCATTTTCGTTATACTCTGCTTAAGCTGCAGGGAAAGCCTTCAGGGAACAAAAGCCATATATAGCAATCCAGAGCCCCTTACTTAGCCGGGCCTCCTGACAAGAGGGGTAAAATTCCTCC